TGCATTCTATCGGTGACTTAGCGACAACATTGCCCAGAGAGAGTCTTTCGCGGATGTAGCAGCACTGATCCGGAAGTTAGGAACACCATGAACATATCTGTTGCTTTACTATCGGCTTCAGAAAGGCTACCTTAGTTATCCGCTTCCTTTAGGCGATCTTTCCAAGTGAGATGGGATAATATGCACACCCAGCTCGGTGCGTTGCGAAGACAAACTACTGAGAGCAAAACAACCTCGGTCTGATCTGCAGGGTTTAGTTAGAAAAATGCGAAGTTCACCATAGTGTATTGAGGCTGGGTGACGCTCAATACTCCTCAGCATCATGGGCTCAACCTGAATACCGATAGCGTCGCAGATGGAATTCCACTGATTGCGATCACCTAGCAAATTGTCCTTTATCAAGCCAGATTTGGACTCGGGAACGTTAGTGCACACAAGAGCTAACGCACCGTAGTTCTGTTTAGCGAATGTCGGTTTGAGGGTTGTTGCTGATAAGTTGGGCTCTTTAACTGGCGCCACTGGAGTTGACGGTGGAAGTTGCATCTCACAGTGTATACACGGTATAGCACATGGACCTACATGTGTCGCGCCAGGTGTGTTTATCGAGGTGACCGATGCGTACATTAGTAGTTTTTTCGCTGCACCGGATCGCCTCAGGTTCTGAGCTGCCGGTATCATGACTGAATCGTTGTGTGTAGGTTAGATGATCGGGGTAGTAGCAGCCATGTAGAGTGTGACATGCCCGATTAAGATGTTAGAATGTGTCGGAGTAAGTTATGAAGATACCGCGTGGCGTTTAGCAAGACGGCCTTTGACCTGGGGACGAGACTCAGTGGGGATTGCTGGGGGACAGAATAGCACCTCTTCAAATCCAATGGCGAAGCACTGAGACTCTCCATTTGCTCAACTGGTTCAGTTAATTCGCGTACTTTTCATGAGCGCAACTCTACAATTGGACTCGCTCTGCATACTCGAAAATAGTGAGAGCGGCCTTTAGTTTAGCGCTGATCACCCCCTCCACACCCTGAGAACAGGTATCCAGCACAAACACTCGCATCATGTTACTTGGCTCCCACCGGACGACAGGCAAACTGGACTCGGCGTGCTCACCACACCATCAGCTACAGATGAGACACGTCAGTACGAGAGTGTCGCTCGAACAGGAGCACATGCAAATATCTACATTACCTATAGTTCTGGGCATGTTTGAATAGTTCCTATGTGCTCAGTCAATGGCCGCCTTGAGTTGGCAAAGCGACACGCCTGCCAAGTAAACGGGAGTTGAAGCACGGAACACCATCATATCTGAATGGTTGCTAGTGTTGTGAATCTGAAAACATACCCTCATTCGGTAGTTCACAACATTGGATTGCATTGTTGTTTGTACCTTCCGATTGTCCAGTGGTTTTACGGATTGCAAATACCCAAACACCTTCTCATCGGTGAATCCCACGCTATGTTGTTTGTCGTCCTAGCTGATTCAATCGCCCTTCTTTGTAACCTGCTCAAGATGTGTTGGGTCCAGCTGCCTCCATATTCTCTGCCGGTTTGTGTATGCAATCGCTACCGACCAATATCCAAATTGCACCCAACACTAGTCAATTGCACACACCACATATACAAGTGACACCTAGACTAGGGAAAATACTTTAGGAAACGGGTTGTAATCGGACGGAAGCATTTATGGAGTCAGGGGTGGAGGTGGTTTGTTGTACCAGCGAAGCCGTATTGATGTGAGACATCTGCCGAGGGATATGACGCAGCGCGATACGTACGACCGGCTGGATGTCATAAGTGCCAGCGACGGAGACGAAAAGGGATACCGCATTATAGAGATCCGCATTGTCAACCAACGAAACACGACTGGAAAATTAAGCGATATGGTTAAAGTTGGGAACTAGAATGTCCAGTTAACATAACCGTGAGTGTATTTAATGTAAACCAGCTCATGCATGCGTGATCAAGAATCTGTGAGTGGAACTGCGTAGACATGCAACACGTCGCGTGCCAACCAGTAGCGTAAGTAGTTTGTGGTGTACGGCATCAAATTAATAGACTGTTGCTTTTGTGCCCAATAGTTTTCGATCGAAGCCCAACCTGAGTTCTGCTTTTCGGAGAGCCACGCGACACAGCGGGACTGCACACAATTAGTCGGTCACACCTTATCACATGCTGAGGGTGGTGTATAGTTGACCAGGCTGTACACGTGGACTAGCTACACACGTTCGCCATCACCTGGAACACCAGACGTATCAGGCTTGTTGATTGCTCCAAAATAATTTTACCATGAAATGCATTGTGGTTCAGTACACATACTGTGTACGGTCGATAAACATGATTCCATAAGTTGCGCATTGGCAAGGGCTTAACAGTTGTCCATCCCGCTTGAGCGAATCATCCACAAACATGTATACTCACTAGTCGACCAAACCCGCTGGTATGCATCAGAACACACGGAGTATGCAGTGTGTCGGTGCATGTGTGGAAAACGTTCCTAGGCGTGGACATCCGGCTGCGACTCTCAGTCAAGGAATTGGTAAATCCTGAAGGTTACCACTAGTGACAGTAGCCATGGAGCATGACCCGATAGTTGAGTACCATAATAACAAACGAATTCGGGTAAGACCATTAACCACAAACATATCGCTCATCTAACACCGTACGCCAAGCTCTCTCCCCCGCGAATTTGTCTCAGAAACTGGGTGCGTTAATACGGGGAAACGGATCTGAAGCTCCACACAAAGCGATACGGCTACAGCAGCAAACAAATGTGAAATAAATGGCAGGTAAATAAAATAGAATAAGAAATGACGCAAGAGAAGTGACGAACCTGGTGGTTACGTAACTAGTTGATTTGTTGTCCAGATTACAGTTTATCGACATGTTGCCTGAGATGAAACACATCCAATTCACCTTACAAAGTTCGGAGGTGAGCTAAACTGTGCATCAATCGATACCACCTCTGATCCGTAACGTGCCCGTACTGCAGATGTGTCAGTATGGCAGATACCCAAGCACGAGTGCTTTGGATATAGTCCCTCTATTCAGTCATTAATCGTTGTGACAGAAGCTGTACCATGCGACCTAGTTGCACAAAGCTAAAGTCCTCGGATGACATCCCAACACCCGGGGTTCAGGTAGTAGTCCTGCCATGCTGCGCGATGATCCCTGAGGGGAAGGGAACCGATCGTGGAGTGTGGTGTCGCGAGCAGCGCCCGAAACGTCATCTGTGCCTGCATGAACTCAAGTAATGCGAAAATGTGTAGTACCAAACATGACACTAGCTAGTGTCACGATGTTAAGACACAAATCCCTCCTCTTTGTACATATATTCCGTCGCGACGCGACTGGGTCGTTAAGTGGTACGATGGTAGCGTACAGCTGCGATCCATTTATGTTTGCCGTTGACACTTTCTGAACAGTATAGGCCAACCTTTTGGTGTAAGCCCAACTCGGCTTCTTTGGAGTCATCTATCTTATACCTTCTAGATTATAAGCTCAGTGGGATCGGCGTGTAGCACGTGATCTTTCTGATGGTGGGAGAGTGCCGCCATTACTCAATATTTTGCTGCCAGCCTTTTCAAGCCGAGCAATCCTTGGTCGAAGAGATCCAGACCTGCAGACTTTCACATGCGGTTGGCCGTGAAAAACGCCCCGTTGCTTTTAGCCGTGTGTGGTAGACCTCGAACAGAGCAGTCACAACCCCAACGTGAACGTGCCCCCAATTGCTTTGTGGGTGAACCTCATGAATCAAAGTTCTCCGATGGTGTCCCTTGTGTAAATCCTTACTTGCTCCGATACCTAATTAACAAAACGGCTAAGTTGGAGATTAAGGTTAGATATCCTTGAAAAAAGCTCGTCTCTTGGAATGGGGAGCTAATATGCGGGGGTTTCCCTAGTAGGCTAAGTCCTAACAACCGGCCACATATATAACCCTCACATGTGAAGCTCCATTACATTCAGGAAACAGCTATGGAAATCTAGGTAACTTTGTCGTTTCGGCCTACGTTCTTGCCGATTGCAGCCCGGTGGCTGTCGAAAATCAATTGCATCAGTCACTCCCTTCGTAACTCAAAAACCTAAAGTACGGATACCGTACTCGTTGCGGGCAACAGGAATGCCTAAAGCGGTCACCTATCAGAACATCATCGGTGCCACTTTAGGGTCAAAACAAATCGTAACGAGGATGTGCAGAGTATTTTTCAGTCTCGGGCTTATCACTGCCTCTAGGTTATGAGAACATCTAACTAACACAATCGTTCGTAAGGATTTAGTTGGCTGCCAATGAGCTACAGGCAATCCGGTCTTTGGAATGCTCACATCAACATCAGCTATAGATGGCGTACGAAAATACAATAAGTGGCTGTTGCGTGATTCGCGTGGCCGAATCACCAGAGGATTTGCCGCTTTTCAAAGCGCCAGAGGTGGTGAATATTACTGTCCGCCAGAAGTGGGATGTACCTCCCCCTACAATATGGCCAGTGTCGTGTGGACAAGATACGGTGCCTATGCGCGTTGAAGAGACTGGCAGTCTGCAGTAGAAACCCGACAGTGTCACACTGGAATATCGGCAAAACCTCAACCGCTTAACAGTGTGTGCCTTATTTGATGACAACGCACCGTGTTAGACCGCTGTCCCTAACTCTGAACGGCGCGGGAGGATGGACTCCTTTGAGTAGTTTACTTTATCTTCCACAAATTCGCTGTGTTAGCCTATATTTATCAGAGCAACGAAGCGAGTCAAAGCAACTGTGCTCATGATAATTTGGTGCTGGGGTCATCAGCCGTTCGATAGACGCAGACTGCACTCTCCACGTGGCCTCACTAACCTGACATTTCACAATGCCACCGAGAAGGCTTGTGCAAATCTATGGAAGATATTCTCGGCTCTCCGCGGAACGTGCGATTTCACGGATGAGGAACCAATTCAAATGTGGCTTCCCAAAACCCAGGACAGAAGGTAGCGTCGTGTGCCCAAATAGAAGAAAAGAAATAAAATGCTCAAAGCCTAGTATGGGATTTATTATTAGAATAAACGCATTTGTTGTACCAACCCGGTAAAGGTGTGTGAGTGGAGAGTGGTTGTGGACAACACAAAACACATGAAACGTGAGGTAGGGTGGATGGCACATACGGACCCGAGGGACGATAGCGAGATCATCAACAGGCGGTAAACAGTTAAGGTTTACAACGATGGGTAAACCGTGGATACAGACAGACGTCGCGTATATGGTGCTTGCCCAGGATCCATGTGCAAAAGCGCTCGAAACCGAGACCATAGCCACCGTGGGGACACGTGCCAAACCGTCGCTAAGGAAAGGAGAAAATGGGACGTGAATTATCCGATCGATACGAGGAGGTGGAGCGCGACTGTGGTGAGCAATGCAATGGGTAAATAGAGGACAAATCGAGCTGCTCCAAATAGGTTGAATTGGTGAGAAACAAGTAATGAAGTTCACAAATGCGGCCTATTCACCAGGAAATGCAAAATCAGAAGGTATCAGTAAACAAAAGTTCGGGATAGGGGATTGTACCGCTTATATGGTTACGTGCTAGTTCCATTCCAGCGAATGATTCCATGACAGTGCTGCTGTATAGCGTGATGGGTTGTCGCCTAAAAGCGTTTCCCTGCAAAAATTCACGACATTGGTTTCAGAACATAACGACTAATTACTGAGGTCATCGCCCCAAATTTAACTTTATTCGAACGTCGTATTCCAGATGTATGCTGAGCTTATGGGGACGATTAAGTGCTTATTTGGTATCTCGCCAAAGGCTCATGGCGCTGCCCCCACTTCGGCGTGGGTAACCTGGTAGTATTGCGCACTCAGAACAAATATGGACTCCTCTTCCTTCGAGGATCACTCACCTGTATCACATGGCAACTGTCTTTTTGTAACTAATTCCTGTTATCCATTATTTGATGATTTATCTATACCAATACTTCTCGGATAGTGATTTTCCCTAGGTCACGATATTTTTTGGTATGCGTTAATGTAGGGACAAGCAGGAAGACTGGATAACAGGTCGGCTCACCGAGTCCCCAGCTTTCGACGACTGCAGCCTTGTCAAACTCCGAAGTTAGTATCCCCGTAATATGCAGGTGGAATTCCCCACCGACCACGGAGGAAAAGACTGTCTGCATCGGTCTGGTGATATAGAAGCAGTTGTAGACAATTTGGTTGAAGTTGGTGTAGCGTTATGTAAGAAAGTTGGGGCTGTGCTGTTGGAATGGTTCTCAAAATCCAACATTCAACTATTTGTAGAATGTTTGTGACATCCGAGTATGGTGAATGAGACTGTGAATTTGTCGGTTGTTTATATCGCGAACTTTTGACAGACCGAGTGTCAATGTCCCAGCTAGTGACTCCAATGTACGAAACGTCTGCCTGTCGACATGTGGATGTTACCTTGGTTGTCATCATGCACTCGGTGAGAGCAGCATAGACAGCGAAAAGAAACCTCTATCAAGCAATAGTTGCAGACATATGAGGGAGACGGTCGGCATACTGGTATGCCCCTTTGTGAACGAAAATGTGATCTCAAATCGGTCACATTCCAAGCATGTTCGGGCCGGGAGAGAAGCACAGCGATTGTAAAGCATCCCAATCCGGACTTCCTTGACTCGGGACAAGTGTTGATCTATGCGCCATAAGAATGACACGAATAGGTTGGTTGATACCTCGACCCAGCTGAGCTAACAATATTTCCTAGCAAACGCACTTACCTGCGATCCGTGAGGAGATATAGAGTGACGCCTGATTTTGATGCAGAACGTGATAACCTCTCCCGAACAATGAATGTACACTAAATCGGTACCCATGGAGAAATAGGCCACTGCTCGCACCTTCGAACAGTGTAAACGTTCCAAAACAACGCAGCGGAGTCAGATTGCGATGAATTTCACTGCGTCGTCGGCCGGCAGTCAAAGCATAGCCTGTGCAGTAATGAAACTTGCTGGTCTCGAAGCGCTTGGGAGGTGTGAAATGCTGTCTTTGTGGAGATTCACGCAAACTTTATCAACTCATTCGAAGCGGATGGACTACAGGTCACTAACTTGCGGCGCTGTCTAGATGACTGAGTCTGGTACTTACATCCTCAAATACGACTGCGTGGTAATCGTTCTGTTTTCTAAGACTAAGTATGGAGGTTCTTTTCTAGGACAGATGTCGTCATTGTCGATTTCCAAGAAAGCCACTGGCAGTTCAATTGAACGTCATAGAAATACAAGATCTGTCGGTTGCCTGTAAACTATTTGTATTTAATTTACCTTACAGACTGTCCCGTGAGGAATAGGCTGGTTTCCACCCTTACCGAGATTATGTAAGCCAAATATTCAAAATCCACTGGTTTCACCAGAGGTCCGCTGATGTCGATTTTTTTCGACATCTGGATTATACCCGACCCGGTCGTTCGACCTACTTTTCGGCGCCACATGTTAAGGAATGATGTTGAAAAAAGGACATACAGATATCCTTCGAACGCCATACCCTCATATCTCAGGCATATTCGCTTGGACGACTCGAAACGAATGTCAATTGTCGGTAACCGTGTCTATGTAAACAATAGGAAGTGAGAAGCCGAGTAGTACTCGAAACGAACAGTCACAATCTAGACATTAGTTGTGATGGCTCGGTGAGATAATGTGTGTCAGCCTATTGCCTTCCTTGTCGCACATTATTTACACATTCTGGATGTAAACAGAAAAGTGTAGCGGAGGATAACGGATGTTGTGGAAAAAGAATAGAGAGAATTTAGCGTCAATTGCATCTGACCGTCTCTCAGGTTGAAAACCACGTGATGATGGTTAAACGTCTTGGGGGTTATGGACCGCAGTAGAAATTAATGGCGGCAATGCTGCTCTACCAATTTTTCGTGTAATGCTCAAATCTAAAAGAAAACAGAACGGCGTATGCGAAGCACTAAAAAATCTACCCTTCTTTGATACTGTATTCATCCCCAATGTGAGCAGAAATTCCTCTTCTATTACTACAATGGTTCTAATTGCATGGTTGTTTGTTTACAGACCTGTGAGTAAATGATAAAACTGAAGAGTAGGGGGTTGTGCAATGTGGAGGTTATACATCACTACCACGCCCCTGTACACAAGACCAGGGTGAATCCACATCCGGTCTCAGGAAGGTAACAGATAGTTAAAAATGTACCGCGGGTGTTGAGTCCAGTTCTGCTCGACCTTGCGAATAGCATCAGGATGCTCATAACAATGGGGTGCACAGCTCAGTAAGACGATACATTGTGTCGGCTCGAAAACGAATGACTTATCCCTTTCCATAACCCAATGTGAGGGACCTTGTCCCTACTACGGAATTAAATATGCCGCAAAATTTGAAATGGACAATTGATGATCTTCAGAGGTAGATGAGGTATGAATAGTATGGGAGGTGCTGTTGGTCCGCCCCACCTTCCAGTTCCACACGACCCACTCTGTATCTAGCAACAGATAACAGTGTTGTATTTGTCAGCCGGACCACTTGTGTAGAGTATGTGTGGCGCCGAATTGTTTGCAGTGTGCGGTCGATTATGACATGAGGTATTGAAAGCTGAAGGTAAGATGTTACGATTGTGCCCGGTGAAGTTAAGCTACACACTAAGTCCCTCATCTTTGTCTGATTAATTATCATCACTACGGGCATGATAGTTGTGTGGCGGTGGAGCTAATACACAGATCTCAACAGCTCACTCACTCGGTTTTGCATAACGTGCCACCAGGAATTACCAACCCATATAACTGTCTCAAGTAACCATGATATGTCGGTAAATATAATTTACCTCGACGTGCACGAGGCCACTGATCGGGCGCCTCATGGAAGACGAATAACTAAAATGTCCTAGGGCATCAGTAAACACCCGCTTTCTTGGTTTAGGTTCTAGCTTACAAATCGAACGCGTGGTACAAGTTCAGAAACACAAATCTGAGCCTACATCTGTCCCCAGTGGTGCAATACAAGACAGTGTCCCAGGGCTGCTACTGTCCCTAATACATATTAATGATACGTCCGACATTAAAAAATCGGCCCACCATATCTGTTTGTCGATAATATCAAAATTGTGCACACATTCCGTCCGGATGCCTTCAGTGATGCTGTCAACATGATCCAACGTGACCTGCATGCGCTTTAAACCTTGTGCTCAAAGTGGAAAATGTTTTTCTTTGCTGACAAATATTGTGCAATGCTCCACAAGTGCGATTTCACTCGTAACTGCCTGACTCTTAAAGTTTAACCAATTGACCCCTTTCCTACAGTAAGAGACCTGGGATTGCGATATTCATGCTCACCTGACTTCTGTGAAAAAGTGGGGTCACCGCGAGGGCAAGATAACAGAACAACGGATGTATATTTATGACCTTTTCCGTACATGAATCAATAATTCATTCCTATATAACAGTTGTTCGATGGTGTACAGCAGCCCAAAAAAGGCGAACGCATTGCATGGGAACAATTAGGGAGAATTCACAAAATGACATTTAGGTGCTCTTCCAAAACTGGGTTACTGTGAATGACAAGCTCACGCCTGGTCCGCTCTGGCTACGGCGCATGAAGTAAAACCTAGTCATACTTTTTGTCTTGCACAGAAATGTACACGTTTTCAACATTGACATGACATTGATGCAAACAGCTGTCTACAACGCACAATATAAACGGAACTCAATAACAAAATGCAAGTCCAGGTCGGCGAACATTTTCCTTAACAGGCACGCCAGAGTCTAGAACAAGCTAGCACCCAGAACAGGTGCCTGCAGTTCTGAACACGAATATCGCAAAAAACATCAACAAGTTCTTGACTGTATAGAACGTGACAAAATTGATTGATTGTTCTATAACAAAAAGCCAAGTGTAGGAGTAAGGCGCCCAAGTTTCATATAACCCAGTACACCCTTCGCCACCATAATCTCTCCTGTGAGTTAGCTGTTTTATAAGTAAATACGTGAGAAAGCGGTTGAAAGCAAGCCAACATCATTTCGTTTTAGTCAACCATTAATTATGCTATTGTTGTCCTTCTAAACGTCGTTAGCTGATTGTAGTTTCAATTTTCCTGATCCACACATAATCAAATGTCTATACAAATATGCGCTTCCCCGACACAGACGAGCCTCGCATCGTCGATCACACGATCTTAGGATACTGGGAACTAACGTGGCTGGAAAAAAAGACCGCTAAAATACCAAATGGAATGATGGTCAATTGAGTCGTTTGTGTGAGACAGGTGATATAGCTGGTGGTGTTGCTAGCCAAAGTGGCATCGTTAAAAGTACCGCTAAGTTCCAGTACATAGGTAAGAAGCAACGGTGGTCCATGCAAAACCGTATCGCTATTTGAAGTGCAATAAATGGTGAATTAATTTTCCATTTCTTTGTTTATGATGCGGAATGCGTTAATGGGTTTACAGAATGTGTGCGTGTGTGTGTGAAAGAAACTGTGCCATGTGGCACACTATCAGAGAGCACGTCTACGCCAATGGTCGACTTCACGCCAGCTGCTAGTGACACACTGGTTCTGCGGATGTCAAAGCTGAGTTGACCACAAGCACAGAAATCACAACATTTGAGGGTAACGAAATAGCAGATGTATCGCACACGTACTTGATCAGTGTACCAGTAGTACGGCGTTGGGTCGATTCCCTCGGATTTGTAACCCTCGAGTAACTCGGGGAGGTTTTCCATGCGCATTGATCCTCCCACAATCTCACCCACTCCGGGAACAAGCAAATCGACCTGTAAGGACACAAGGAAAGATATGCCACTATCAGAGCATCCTCGTAAAGCGTAAACAATGAACTAAAGGCCAAATAAGGGGTCCGTATTACTTGGCATCGCTGCAACGAGCAGCCATAATTAGCTAGGGCCTTCAAGCATTTGGATTCTGGCCTGGCTAGCTCGCATGTATGGTTATGTACCAGAGTAAGAACCGGCGTTGGGATTTTACGAAACAGAAGCAAGCAACACCAATCTGTTCGAACTTAGCATCGGTTAGAGCATTCGGACTGGAGTCGCAAGGACGATGAGCACGTCTTGTTCGATAGACTTGTTGATATGGCGAAGAGCTGAAGTCAATGTCTTTGTCCCTCCCCCTCCAACCACGATCTCACACGCGATACATCATATGACTTAAGCACTGTAACATTTTCCCAGGCATCATCCTGTTACCATAACCGGCATCTATAATGTCGGGTAGACGTGCTTGCTCTTATACAGTCTCCCAAAAAACATCAGCAGCCTAAGTATCCAAAGGCATCAGCAGTACGCCGGTACGCAATATCGACGCTTCGCTGCCGCGCAACCACCACCAGTTGCATGTGGGCTAAGATACTGCGACGGTCGCCTTGCCTCAACGCAGGCTCTAACCCATGCCGACAGATGAGAAGACAAGCTTGTTACCCTTAAGCTGCGGACCAGCTAAATAATGTATCAGCTGTACACTGAAACGGCGCTTCACTGCAGACGATGGCAAGCCCAAACAAAGATCATTTAAAACCTACCGGTATCAAGATTGATGCTGTCGCAGCAAAAGCGTTTGGTAGAGTACGATATTTTAAAAACGCAGTGGCTTTCAATTTGCACGATAAAATGCCGGTAGAAACACAGTGCAGATGTAGAAGGCTCCGAAAGAAGGTCTAACGCAAAAACTGTCCCTCTTTCAATTTAGTGACGCACTGACGGTAAACGAGTTCCACAAAAAGTTGTACAGATAGCAGAAAACACTACAATCAAAACACTAAGGATATGGATTGACAAAACGCCATTGCAAAAAGAAGTTAGCCACTGACGCCACCGAAAGGCCTTGAAGCCACTAGTTCCGACATCGCCACTACCACGAATGCCGACATTTTGCTTGAGTTAATTAGCGGCACGGAGAGTCCAGTCAGTTCTAAATGTAAAAATACCAGCCAAAACAACGTCAAAGGAGACGGAGTAGCTCCACTCAACATCAGTTCGGCAACTAGTCCGACCAAAACACTGGCTGGAACCACTATCCTCAGTGAATAAACGTCTAGCTATGTGACTGAGACACTTTCCAATTCTTCGAAACGCAAGAAAATTGCTAAGAGAAGTCAAGCTAAAATTTACAAGACCATTGTCAGCAACGGTGCATCATGTGCTTCACATTAATGCGACAAATATTCCATGTTGAAAGAACTATCCACTCAAGTTCCGCTGTAATGTCTTGACTCATCACTGTCGTTACCCCAACTACTGGATGTCGATATGGACCATTCCAACAGCACACCGGGTAACCAGATAGGTCGTAGCCAAAAACAATAAAGTGATATCAAATTATAGTAGCTATGCATTAGGAAACCTTATGGCTAGCACCTCTAGCAAAGATAAAAATAATGTGTACCACCAAATTACTGAGTCGCATGCAAAGATTGATGTAGTAGAGTGTCTTGATTCTCGGAACCCATTTGATTCAAAAGTAAAGCATATTTCTAAGGCCTCTTAATACAGACATATCCACAATGACTGTGAGCGTAATGTAGGTCACAAACGTAACGGAGGCCTCCCTCACTTGAGGTCAAACCCCAGCAAGCTTTCGCACATACTGCTATACCAATACCCCACCGGAACGTTGATCCTCTACAATGTGTTGAACATATCGCTACACCTACAATACATGCACACTCCTGCCCCAGGTCATCGGTTTTTCCGGATCCTACGAATTTCCATCCATCGCAACCACTAAAGCCACAAAATTTCTAGGTTACTCGGCGGTAGCTGTGCCGTGGATAGGTGAAATTGTGATACATCAGAACACACTGCATCTCTTTTTATTCATCTAGTTTGCCTGTCTGCGAATACAATAGATCGCCACAGAATGATCCCATTAATATGTGTACCTCCGCCTCAAATTCCCTTTAAATACCCATATTCCGCCAGCTCATTGGGCTGCCTAAAACGCACGGAACTATAAACATTCTTCCTATTAATGCTCGATCCCTAAACAATAAAATGCATTATCTCCACCTTGTTACATATTTGTTGAACCCTCGAATTGTTCTAGTTATCGAAACGTTGTTTACTGATCAGACAACAGAAGCACATTACCATATCCCAGGATATATTAGCTTCACGAATAGCCGATGCAATAGTCAAGGAGGTTGCGATGTACATCGATGAAACAATTCCCGCCTCACCTTTGGTTGAGCCGATGCTTAACGACTTTACCGACTGATTAGATCACGCCTGAGATAGATCAGCGTAGCGTTCTCATAGGGTGCATCTAGTCCCCCACAAAGGGACAAAACTGAAATCCGACTTCTCGCGGACGGGGCTTCAATATGCCAGAAGTATCGTGGTACACTTATACATTCCCGCCTAGGTTGTTTGAGTTTGTTTCGACTAGTCGCACACAAGACTGGTCACAGCATGTTTCGTCGCCAACACGAAATAACAAAATCCTAGATCTTGTCTTCACTTTGGGAATTCTCGATGGTAATGTCAAGATCCTGGACAAACCTACGGGCAGTAATAATAATGTGGTGCTATTCAATTACACTTTGCTCTCACAAGCCTCGAAAGCCGAGTACAATGATCAACTGCGACACGTTTGAAACGCTAATAAGGTCAATGCAGTGGGATAGGTTCGTCCTCACACGGAACGCAGATGTTGCCGCTGAAAATTTTATCATAATATAAACCAATGCTTAGACACTATCGCACCAGTTCTGCTAAAGAAACGACCCAATACTACTGCGAACGCTAGCACTGGTACTCTTACAAAAGGGAAAAATCAGCAAACTGGTCAGGTGTTATAAGGAATTCCATGAGTTCACCATACTATATCAGGTCCATAATGTAATCTGAAAGTTAGAATCTGGTCGAGCCGAGAGGCGGTGTTATGAAGAACATCGAGCTCCCCTAGACTTAAGTAAGCCGAAGGAGCTTACAAAGCTTCTCAGGAGAAGAAGAGGGCGCAGAAACGACTGTATCATGTCCATTGCAATCCCTACCTTTACGTCAACGGATGATCCTGCAGTCATTAGTAATCTTTTCAACAAGCATTTTCGTTCGTCCTTCAACTGCAATACAAATGACCAGCACACCATACAGTCAGAAAGGTTTACAGGCGGCAGGTTGTGGACATTAGACTTTCCAATAGAAGAAATAAGGAAATCGTTTAGCACCATGAAGCCGTCCTTCAATGGTGGCCTTAATGGCAATCCGTCAACTTTACTGAAATGCGGAGGTCCGGATATCCCTATTCTTTTACACAACATATTTATCTTGTTAATGAAGACGAGTACTGTTCCGCATCACTGAAAACACGCTGATGTTGTACCAAGATATAAAAAAGGCCCAGAACGAGATGTTGTAAATTACCGCCCCATTAGCCCTACTTCCATAATTGTTAAAATAATATCAAGGAACCTAGTAAGTCAATCACAATATGGCCTTATTAGACAGCGTTCTCGTCAGTCTTGCCTAATAGACTTCTTAAACCACATCACAAACTCAGTCGAAGGAGGTGAAGCTTATATTATCATAGTCCTTGACATGCAAGGGCCTTTAACCATGTGCCACATGGCAGGCTTTTGACCACTCTAGCGGGGTTTGCCATTGCTAAACCTGTACTTCCTTGGTTCTCATCATTACTTACCGATAGAACTCAAGCAGTCAAGATAAGAAATCACATATCAGGTCACACCTCTGTTCCAAATGGCGATATTAAAGGCAGGGTTCATGGACCACTTCTCTTCCTAATGGATATAAATGACATTTTTGACATAATGGTCTAGGTAGGCCTTACATGTTTGCGGATGATATAAAAATGGTATGCACAGTTGATCCCAAGAACCAGGAGTCCGTGGTACGAAACATACAAACTGACTATAATGCATTTAAAGGGTGGCGTTGCACTTCAAAAATGAGTTTCTCCGTCGAAAAAAGTAATACCATCTTATACAAATGTGACATGAACATCGAACCGCCAGCTTTCTTTGGGAAACCCTTAGAACATGGTAACCAAGTAAGAAACTTAGAGATGTATTGTTCCAACAGCCTTAACTTCTCTAAACACGTACAATACATTTTCACTAAAGCCAAGAAAATATATATGCACTGTTTCCCAGACTCTTTATCTTAACAAATGCTACACTTACACTGTACAAGTCTTGGACACGCCCAAGGTTAGAGTACCGCTGTGTGGTATTTGGCAATGTAAGACAAAGTGAAACAGCGGCACAAGAGCGCGTTCAACGTGCAGGACAGATCCTGGGCTCTACTCAGAGGCTAACGTACTCTGAACGCTGCGAATTGATGATGTTGGACCAGATATGGCTGCGTAGAAGGAAGTTAAACATACTGCTGATTTTCGATGTAATTCATGGGCGCATTCATACACCTGGATACTCTCCCCAACTATAACACAATAAACGCTATCTTATCTGTAATAAAAAGTGCACACTTGTGATTGCAAAATCGCGCATCAACATGCGTGCAAACGTTTTCCTCATTAGATATGCATTGATTTGGAATCGTCTCCAACTGTTCACTACACCGTTTCCCGGCTAAGTTGTCCTCTTGGGCAACAGAAATAATCTGAGGGGGCATTCAACATGAGTCTACTCAATTAATTTGTTCCGTGCGTAGGAGTTGAAGTGTCCCACCTGCACCACTATGACTTAGTGCGTCTGAGGTTCAATTGGCTGAAGGTGACGGTCTATACCCGCACACCTACACATCTGCACAAGTGACTGGCGTACGCACGGAACAAATTAATTGAGTAGACTCATGTTGAATGCCCCCTCAGATTATTTTTGTTGCCCAAGAGGCCAACTTGGCTGGGAAATGGTATAGATCATGCACATCTCCTCACATGTTCTGCGTACATAAAGATAAATTTCTCATAATCCCAAAAGCCGTGCAAATTTTCAGGCTGAATATCGCGGAGACAGAGATTTATCCGAAGGGACTAAAGGGTATATAATGTATGTCCGTGATACCACTCGGTCGTACATTACAAAACTACATTGTTGTCACAAAAGCCAAAAAAAAAAAAAGCAGAACGAATTTACATGCTCACTCCTCCAAAAGTTATCACTTTCTCTCCTCACCCGACCATACCAACCTCAAAGCCTCCATATTAATATGATGGCTGAAGAGAGGCGTTAAACTGAACCCCCTTTTTCATTTTTTCGACCAATGCTATATTCGTTCCTTACTCGGCCACGCCGACCTCGAGGCTTTTATGCCTACATGGAAGGTAAACCGAGTCCTCGTTTTCACTCCTCGGAACTCCGTTATACCCACTCGTTAACCGCCCATACCTATCTCAAGGCCTCCATAACCACAAAGAAACCTACGAAGAAGGCCAACCAAGTACTCATTCTTTTCTACCCGACGACTGTTACACTATTTCTTTCCAAGTATTTTGCAAAGAGCGATAGTTGCTATTGCTAAATCTGTCACAGTAAAACATGTGCACATATCAAGATATCAGTAAAGATAGCTGTATCATGTAATTAGTTTTGCGACTTTTTAAACCAGTGTTTGAGTACAGCCTCTGCTACAGATTCCGAAATATTGGCAGGCCTATTTGGGGACATATAGGAATACAAGCCTGATCATCTCGAACATGATATAATTACCTAACAAGCATGCTTCCCTTATCTATGTTTACTCACTGTATGCTGCTGAACACGTCATCATTAACCTGGACCATATTTTTCTCACGATATTTTAGATTAGTTAAAATTGACATAATCACGGCAATCTTTACCGCTTGCAAATCGTTTAGCCTGCTTACCGTGCTGTTTTTTCAACATGTCCCTTACCCCGAGACCCGTCCAAATACTGCGGAGAAATATGCCAATACGCCTCGTTGTTTGGTGTCTTGATTGCGCACTTCTACATGACGAAACAAGCAAGCCCAAGCCGCTCACGACTACAGGTCTATGACTGACTACACTGCGTGTCGAGTAGATGCAAGCATATGATTAACATAAAATGCTACATTGCAATATCTTCGCGAAGTACCAATCAACATGTGATTGATACTGTGTTTCTTAAGGGTCTGACTGACCATGTCAAATCACGCGTTCTCCAAGCGTCTTTTCCTCCATTTAGCTGAATCATCAACAAATTTGCGAACCCCTTGTACAATTTGATCGGACCAACAAACCGGACCGTGTCTCGCACATTCGAGAAATAAACAAAATTTATTTATTTGTGTACCAAGCATCGTATTACTCAATGTTTGTATATTAAATTCTGTTATGTTTTGCGTCTCGCTTTTTCAGATCTCATGCTTTTGTATTGCGGCACAAAAACCGAAGTGCTTCTTGTTATCAGCTAACGTATGACGACGATGGTACGAAATTAAGGCGATCTTAAGTCTACCGAGAAAGCATCAACAGTACCCCGGTACGCAGTACCAACGCTTCGCTGCCGCGTGACCACCACCGGTCGCACGTAGGCTTAGGATACTGCGAGTGTCGCCCTGCCCATACGCAGGATCGAACCCGCGCCGCCAGATTGCAAGACAAGCTTTAGGCTATGGACAAGTTGATCGAAAGTTAGCTCTTGGTGTGAAAAACAACATAAAGAGAGAGAATGTACCCCGCTATCTAACCACATGGTGGGCGGCAGCCGCATGTAAGCTCAAGTGTCAATGCAAGTGTCAATACACGTACGGAATCAGTCAGACGACGATCCTTTGCGGTTTTGCGCATGTAGAAAGCCTTCATTCCGGCTGGAAAATGCGTCAACAAGATTGGCGTACCAATTATATCAACCAAACGACGTTCCGGTGCCTCTGGTATGTCGTCCCCGAATTCGAATGGAGTGAGATCTTCCTTGGTAAGCCCCAGGTTTCTCAACCTCTGAATGGCCTCCTCATATCGCATTCGCATGAACGGTTTTTCAGGGACTGTGAAATTCTGAAGGAGTGTGGTAAAGAGAAGGTGATTAGTAAAGCAATGGACTGTAATCATTTTGCGGACACGATGTGAGACTGCGCTGAATGCCATATCCGAGCCTAAGCGAGTGCGAGTTCAACTCAAGCGTAGCTGGTTCAACGCATACAATGGTATCCCCAAATAACAGCTATGCGTGAAATAGTCTACGAGTTCAATCACTTGATTAAAAAAGCAGTGGGAATTGGAAAATGGTGATAGAGAATATCAAGTTTAGTACCTGAGTGTCCACTGCTCAGATTTTACGTTTTATTACGAGAAACCCGCCATTATTCCGTTCAATACGGATTATGTAAACATAGTCCCAGTCAATTGTATGAAATTTGAAACGCTGTTACTGTATGGAGACGTGAAAGCTACTCGTTGAAGATTTTGCAAGCCATGGATCGTTGGGATTTATGGAACATCGCACACTTCTGATATGATCTTCGAGCAAGTAGTACTTGCAACCAGTGGCCTCTTGGTCGTATGGTGCTTATCAGTATTGCGGTGTGCTTTAGAATGAACCGACGGAAAGGGATGAGCAGACGGACTCGAAAACTTCGACGCTCTGAAAGAGCCACCTTCCCGTGTGTAAACCACGGTGTAGAAGAGATGGGTGGTCAGGAATCCACTCGAGATGACGCATGAGTGGGAAACCATCAGCCATTGTTCCATCTGATCACACTAAGAATATCCTGCCCACCTTCTTTTTGTTAACATGTTCGTCAATTGTTGTTAATTCGCGTTACACAAGAGCGATGTGAATCAAGGTGGCTGAATACGTCCCACTTCGCATAATAGCTGTTTGGACGAATTGAATTGTGCCGCAAGCACTTCCGTCAAAGTGACCCGTTGATGCTGGTTCGTCTCTTCGGTTACGAGAATGCTGATTGCCCTCGCAGTTGCCGGTACTCGATAAGAACGCGGTGACCTGATTGAGTTGACCATGCCTCATAAAAAGAATTCACTCGAATGCGCTGAAAGGATCTCAGGTGTCTTTAGTGGATAAATGATGGCGAGAATTGCTTTGTGCAGCAGAGGAAGTAGAATACCATCAAGGCAAGCACTCAACTTCGTCACCATGGATCCCGATAGAAAAATGTTTGGGATAGATGCAGGTGAGTAAGGATTGGTGTTCCACAATCTAATGGAAGAAGCTAGACTTCTTCTGACTCATCCCTTCGCCAGTGACGAGAAATTCGACTGTTAAGAAGCAACCAGAAAAACGGAGAGGCCGCTCGTAGCACAAAGAGATAGAAAGTGTTTGGAGGTAAAACTCACGGGGTTTATTTCCAAAACCAAGTTCCCCACCGCGTCCAGTGTCCGCTGGGCCACGTCAACTACCAAGTCTTCTATGGAGTTCAGTAGGTCATCGAATTCAATGAAAGGACATTCGGCCTCTACGTGGTTGTATTCAGACAGGTGACGTCGAGTTCGGCTCTGTAAAACGAGGTTAGAAAGGGCAAAACGCTAACATGCGAAGTGAATCGAAGATGATTCCAACCAAGTACCATACTATGAAAAGCATAACCGACCGGTCACCGTGCAATAGGATACGGGATGAGTTGTGAAGTAACAGTGTTAAATGAAGAGATCAGAAGGAATCGTCATTTGCGTCATAATCTCAAGAACCAAAGCGCACCTGTTCAGCACGGTAACTTCTGTTGATGCAGTACACATCACCCAGCGAAGGAATGCACGTTTCAAGATACAGTTGGGAAGATTGTGTGAGATAAGCTTCTTCGCCAAAATACTTTAACGAAAACAATGTTGCGCCACCTTCGACCTGCGTTTGCACGAACGTTGGTGGAAAAACCTGCAGTGAAACAGAAAATATAGCGATGAAATTGGATTCACGAATTCTGTGGTGAGCATATTTGAAAGAGCCATAAGCCCAAGCGAAGGTAACGCAGATTTCGCATGGGAGGAAACGTAGCACTGGCTCTACTAGGCAGCCTCACACAAGCTAAAGAGACTTGTTTTGGCAAGGATAAGCCTGCCGAAAAACTAGACGCAATACACTGACGGACATGAGGGTGAATCAACTACAGCTACGGATTTGCTGTCCTCCAGCTGAAAGAAGGATAGTCTGTGGATGCCACCTGTCTTGCTTGTGACCACCCGTTTCTGTGGGACAAATCACATGGACCACAGTAAAATGAGCTGAGAGCATTCGATACCATCACCCAATTTGGCTCAATTGGTGGACGAAACAAGATGTGGCGGCGCAATCATAGTACCACCAGCCGAAACGAACATGAAGTGCTGGTGCGATGTCACGAGTGTAAAGCGTCAGCTCTAGGGTGAGCAAAAGCACAGCCCAAGCGGCGAGTTGAGCCACCATCGCTTGACTCAACTACTCCAGAACGTGTTCGCGCAATCAATGCGTGGGAACATCGGCACTTCTCTGACCAGCTACCATAGTGTCAGAAGAGGATTTGCCTGGATCTGAAAGACCATGTGCTCAAGACCACAGCGAGGGCCGTCTAACTATCTAAAGAAGTAGAAACTGGCCCTTCTATCTGAGGGCTTGAAGCAGCTTCAGATCTTTGACCAACGTTGTGTGCCGAGTACTGCTGATGTCGGATATCATCAACGTGTCCGCAATGGTGACGTGTGTACAAGCGGTCGTAAAGCGGTGCCAACCAGGTCTGATCCTTAGTGTAGCAAGTAACACTGAATAAGCTGTGGCGGCTTACACACTTATTACGTATGCTCGAGGTCCTCATTTAGTTAGCCAGAAGTAAGACAAGGATCGAGGAGGGCAAAAGTTCTATTGGCAGCGTAAAATGAAGTGATAGATGACGAAACCGGGCGCTGTTAGTCCGTCTCGCCTTCCAGATTGGAGTCCATGCGACCCACCGTGTGACTGGTTTGAGACGTTATGAGACATGACTGGCAGACGGCACCAGTGGCGCGCCTGCTGTGGTCTTCTGATCGGACTGCTTGTTTGACATGCGTCTGATGATGACTTGTCTGTAGGTTAAGGTTGATTATGAAACGGGGCAGAGAAAGACGCAAGGAAGCTATCTTATCGATGACGCCTTATCTTTGCATGATAGTCAACTGTGTGTGGCTGTATATTGTTGATAAAGCGTAGGCAGCTCGGTTCTGAATGCCCTGTCAAGGACATTTGCTCAAATAAATTACCGACGTACTGTTGTTGCCGATGACATGGACCGCATACCAATAGTACGATATCCCAAGTGGCGTTACCACACCAACCGGGTAGATATTTCCCACCGATGATCATTCTACTTCCCACTAACTGATATGGACGTCCTTCCTCCCGAGTCACGATGGAGCAGTGGATTGGCCAGGGATAAAAAAGCAAATGCTAGACAATTTCAGTAGGTAGAGAGTGAGACCAAAAATGAACGTACCAAAAGAAAACACGCAGCGGTGGACTCATCGCAACTATGGATGGATTGGTTATAACATGATGATGAGGCACGGAACCTGTATACAAAGCCGAGTTTTCAGGACCGATACGCGAATCATCAAGCAAAGCAACTGTGCCCACTGAACACTGAGTTTGCGGGGTGTAAGCAAGCGTATCAAGCTATCGAGCGATAGAATGCCATTTTAGCTGCAAGCCCAGGCAGAAGTCGCGGGACACAGTTTCGAAAATGGTAATTGGAGAGACATAAGAAATTAGTCACGCCAAACATGATTTTTATGTGATGACAACTGGGAGTCGAACGAGTTTCGAGTTACAATGTGCAGCACGGAGCCAAAGTAAGCAAAATCATGGCCGTTAGGGGGCCAAAGTACACATATTTGAAGGGCAAAAACTGACGTGGGAGAAGATGGCTTGTGAAGAGCACTGCGTGTAGCGCATGTGGTTGCTTTGATCGCACAAATTTAAAGCTGTGAAAATAATCTATAGGCCGACAATAAGCCAGGCAATCCATTCATTGGAAAATAAGCGACACAGGAAAAACGATGATTGATCGTACAAACACAACCAACCTCGGTGTAGCCGCGATCTTTGTAATGGGCTCGGAATGCAGCAGCTACGGCATTCACTACTCTGAGAACTTTGGACGTCTGGAATTGGGGAAGAGAAGAAAAGCAGGGGTCAAGATTGCACATTAATACAATGGACAATTGCCTGTGTCATGAGAAGTGTGTGAAGCTGGTCCCGGAGAAGACGAGTGACGGTGGTGGTCTATGGAGGCGATAAAGAACACGGGTAGTTAATCATCAGAGTTTGAAGTGCTGTGGCTATAGTTCGAATCCCGTGGTGTTTCGCTTCAGTAGAAAAACCTTGAAGAATGAGTATGAATTCCAACAAGACCCGATTAGGAATATTGGAAGAGTTAGCCTACCAGGACTTTCAAGCACTCGGTTCTAGCTGAGGACGACGTGGTCAACATCACCTATGGACTGGTTAGAGAAATGATGCGTGTATGGGCAGGAGCCGAAATAGAAAAAAGCGCGTTTTCCACATCAGCATATCAAAGGAACAGCGATAAGTGCACCGTTTGTAGGCTGAAGTTTTCCGGGAATGAGAAAAAACCTTCAAACCACAAGGAGACTGACTTTAATCGATTATACATACCGAATTTAGAGCTACAAGAAGCAAATAAGAGCGGATTCAGCGAAGCACGATCCTATGCTTTTTCTAAGTATAGTAAAGAACTGTTCACCTAACATCCTGGAAAATACTTGGAACCGATCGAGAACTCATGATTTCAGAAAGGTTTGAAAACAACCGGTTGGTATAGTTTGTGAGCAACGTTTCGCTTTTGACACAAAAGCTTCCTCAGGCCGAGTGAACCAGTCGAGGATTGGTATAACACTTATAGCGAACTGGGATGATAATCGCGACGAATGGGATGTAAGCAGAAGGTCAATGGCGTTACAAGTCAAGGCAACAGCTAGTACCACGCCACAGTTGTTGGGAGAAACCAATCAATAACAACGTCCTCAGCCGATGAATTGGCCGACAGTGGTTAAAGTAGAGGAGGATGGAATGCGGAATAAGGCAAGCTATGAGAGAAGGGACAGTAAACCATGATGTGACTCAACATGCGTTGGAGGAAACGATTGCAAAGGGGACTGCACTTTCGTCTGGTACTAACACCAGTGACCACAGGAAAATGCGCTATTGGCGCAAATAAAGGATTGTAGAAATACGGGTTCTCGGATGTCACACAGAACGAAGAGACCATAGGACCTTTACTCCACCGATGTAACAGTACACGAACACCTATTAGAGCCTGTCGGTTGTGAGCAATAAAAGAGTGGAGACCACATGAAATTCGGCAGTCTATAGTAATATAGAGAAACAGTCTAAGAGATACCGGCTGAAGATATTAGTGAGGGGAAATCTCATAAACAGGATAACCGAGCAGCGGAAATAAACCGCATGCGTCAAGAGCCGGTAATTTGTCCGCTCGGTTGTCTAAAAGGATCCAGTACTGGCCAGAAGAAGTAAACCGGACAGGTAATTAACAGCAAAATTGGCAACACGTAGTATTCGCATGGGCATGTGCACTGTAAAAGCATATGGCTAACAAGCGGAGTTCAAGGTGTGCTTTTTTCACCCGAGTCGATTTAGAACGGTGGTATTGTCAACATGCAATGCGACAAGTGAATTAAAGTAGTGGCTCGAAACTTTCTGATCGAGCATTCTGCGTTCGTGTTAAGATGAATGCAGTCAATTCAGCATAAATAGTGTCATTTTGGGCAGCACAGTAGTACTGTTTGCTAATGAGGTGCTGCAAACGGTCTTGCGTGGGGGGTTGCGACGTTGCAAGGGTAACCCAGTCGGTGCAGAAGTGGAGCCAACAGGCTGCAAGCCAATTGACGAAGCACTACTGTACCATGAACCGGCATTTCGACAAAGGGTGTCACAACTGTGGGGATAGGACCGAATGACCAATCCCTAGTTAGACATGGCGATATAAATTCACAGAGATGGGAAAACGAAAATACAATCCATAAAGGTTCAAAGGTGTTTAAACCTGGAATGAGAGAACCTTAGATTAAAGGCACCGAGTGAACGGCGCAGCTGAGTTTGTGGAAAAGGCTGATCGCATAGGTCACATTCTAACAGAAATGAAGAAAACGAAAGAGAGGCTTATCGTCTTCTTAGATGTGAACCTCAAGATCGGTCATATTAACTACAAAGATTATCTAGTTTAGTGCGGCCCCGGAGGTAAGCGGTGTTTCTATATTCGATCTGAATCCTTTATCTGTCCGCTAATCGGCCTTGTAGTAGTATGTCGTAAACACAGGCACGGAGCATGAAAAAGTGACTCCAAATTTGGCATAGCAACTATGTTAACAATTGGATGTAAACTGCAGAGTGAATACATGCGTGGGATGAGAATGAACTGGTGGTGACGCGTACATAAAGCTATCCATAATCATCCCATTCGAGGAATACGGCTTCTTCCAAATTTGGGCCACCCTCTGGCAATTCGCCACTAAGTTTCAGCATCAGCGCCAATTTCTGTTGTTGCGACGGAGTGGACCATGACAAAAGGGCCAAGGTTGAGGGGATTTAAAGTGCAATGGCTTCGATAGATGCGGACAAGGCTCGTCCGTCGGATGTTCCCGCTTTGCTGCCAGGTCAGTTTGCTTCGTTTAATACTTTGTGCAGTCTTTGTCAATTTTTAGAAAATTTAGTTTTATTTGCGATTTTGAATGCCTTTACTGTGTATCAGTGTCCGACGCACATATTTTATTGTGGTTTCCAAATGGTTTACTGGTCGTTCCATTGATTCACACTGCCGTCATATTTACTAAGCCGTTTGTAATGACGAAGCAAACCCCCTGTGGCACTTGTTGCAAAATTGTTGGTCCTAGAGCTAATGCTGTCACATGTTTGATCTGTCACGTGAATGTTCACATCGACCAATTTAAACTTATGCATGGAATTCAACATGACTTTGTCCAAATATCGTGTAAGAAGTGCCATACTAAAGTGAAATCATCAGCAGTCGAGAAACCTCACAGGTCAGCAAGACGGAGAAAAGGTACCACAGCAAAGAGCTTCGTGGGTGCGTCAAATCCATTGGAAGCTGAGTCACCCCTATGTCCGAACGAGCCCACCTGCCCGCCAGCCAATAGCTCTCCGAAACAATCTAACCATTTCTCGAGGCTCAGTTAGTACATCTATGTCTGTGTTGCGTCGTACGGGTACTAACGTCCCTCCGCGCTATAGCGTAAGCGATGACGGCCAGTGGAAAATGCAAGGAAGGAAGAAAGGGAGACCAACTGCCAACGATCAGCCGCGGTGCAACTTTATATTTCATGCGCCTGAGTCAATTGACGCAAATTCACTGGCTCGCTATGACTACGAGGTGGAGTTTCTACAAGTCTGATCGACGGACTCTTCGGCATTGGTAAACAGGGATTAAGTGTGAAGCAAATCATTCGTCTTGGAAAGGGTGATGAGAAGACTCGGCCTCTGCAAGTCGCTTTCGTCGATGAAGCCAGCCCGAGGATGATACTATCATGCTTTGGTATGCTAGGAGGTATGAAGATCCATATTCGACCACATGTGGGTCCGTCAGACCGTGAGAAACTCAAGTTCGCTATCGCTGAGCTTGAGCGGAGTACTGATAGTGAGGAAACTAATCACCACATTTTAAATTTTCGAGTGGTTCCCAGGGTTCGCTGAACCCGGATTGATAAGTAGATGACACTCAATGCACTGCCAGCGGTTCCTACTGTGGACTGCGCGTAAGCACTAATGTTTGCAGTTTAATGAACAGACGTGACGATCTGTGCCATTTTGTTGCCTATCGTCCGCCGGATGTACTAGGACTGGCTGAGACCTGGCGGAATTCTGAGACAACCTCCTAGGAGGGATACTCGTGCTTCCGGCGAGACAGACTATCGAATGACCGCGATGGCGTGCTGCTATACATCCGGTCATCGTTGTGCAAGAGACTGGTAAGCATATACCGAAGTGAGAATGGTCTATGCGAGCAAATGTAGTTCCCAATCCACCTGAGCCGTGGCGTAATGTTCGTCGGTGCAGCCTATCTCAGTCCGCGAAGTCGCTGTTTGGACTGGCTTCCGCATGTGCAAAACCACTTGAGTCGTCCCCGATTCTTCTTAGTTCGAAAACGCTGATCTGAGGTTCAACGTCTCCCCGGGCATTGTGAAGTCGAGGCAGTTTTCTGAGATGATATCCGAAACTGAGCTAGCACAACGGATCTGCCAGCCGACGAGCATTACACCGCACTCAAATCCGTCGTGCCTGGACTTGGTGTTGACTAGTTGCGAAAAGCGTGTGCGTGGTGTTTCGGTCCTGGAACCTATAGCAGCGAGTGATCACTCGATGATCATGGCCAGGCTTGAGTTTTCGCTGTCATACTCGCGTCCGCTGGAACCATCCTACAACTACTGGAAGACCGACTTCGATGGTCTCATTCGAGCCACTAGTCAAGTGGATTGGTCGCTGCCACAGGATTCATCTGCTGAAGCCTGTTGGTCTGTTATAAAAGGAGGGTGTGAGATCGCTGTGTGCTCGATTTGAACCCCTCAAGTATCGAGAAAATGGACCAGTGAAGCTACATTGGTTCGATAAAGAGTACGGTCAGTTGGTTCGACGGTGAAGCTTATCGTCGAAGAAATTCCTTTCGTCTGGCTCTGCCGACGCGCAAGTACAGAAGCGTTAGCAGCCCGAACAGGAGCTTGAAACCGCAGCGAAAATGGCCCAAAGCGAATTTCCGCTTATGTGTAGCGGCGCCTGAGGTCTGCAGACATCATCATCATCATCAACAGCAGTACATCAGCCATTTGAACTGATGCTTCGCTGCCATACAACCAGGAGGACCAAAGAAATAAAGAATAAGAAGAGGGAGAGAAGGGGGGGGACTTACCTGAAAACCTTAATGCCCTAAGCAAACATTCAGGGTCAAGGCGACTACACCTTGTGTAGACAACATTCCGTCACAAACAACTGGCTATCGTGCAAAGATAAGGCGGCATCGGCGAGACAGCTTCCTTTCGGTTTTCACTGCCACGCGTCATAATCAGCCATTACCCCGCAGATAACTCAGCACCAAACACACTTTAAACAGGCAATCCGATTAGGAGACGGCAGCAGACGCGCCACTGGTGTCTACTGCGAGCCATATCCTGTAAAGTCTCGATCCAAGCACAAGGCGAGTCACGTGGACTACAGTCTGGAAGGCGAGAAGTGCCGACAACACCAAGTTTGGTTGTCAGTGGCTTCATTTCCCGCTACCAAGTCAACTTCTGTCCACCTCGAGCCTTGCGCCATCCTACACCTGGTAGACTGAACAAGGCCCTCCTAGGTAAGCGGTGACCAGGCATGCATAGCACGTGCCCAAGCCAACGCAACTTATTCAATGTTATCTGTTGTTCTAGGGAGCTAGCATGATTATCACCACCTAGTACTCGCCTACGCACATCATCGTTGCGGACACGCTGGTGCCATCCGACACCAGCAATGCTTCGCAAACAACGATGATCAAAGACTTGAAGGCGCCTCAGATCTTCAGACCGAAGGGGCCAAGTTTCATCACC